ACATTTAAAGCTCTTTGAATCACAGAAAAGGTGATTAATCTTAGTAACCGCACAGAGAACTGACAGAGTATTTTAACATAGTCAAAATGCAGAAGGTCCTTGGATGCCTTCTAATAAAACCTGGTATGAATTTTGCATTTTACATTTACTGTCTCATCTCTGTGGGAACCTAATGATAAACTCTGTATGGGAACCCAGTATGGATATTTCATATAAATAATTGCTATAAATGTTTATTATTGGAAATGCAACAGTACATGAGCCTTAAAGTAATCTATATTATAGACTGATCAAATAATTGATTGTGATTACTGATCTTATCAAATTTTTATTCATGTTAATAACATTTCTAGGAAGAGATAACATGCTAGGAAGACCATGTGCTAAGAGAATTCATGCTTGAAGAGCTGGTGAGGAATATTTACTAGGGTTTACTTCAGAACATTAATGCAAATTCTAAGTGAACTGAAATAAAATCTCCAGTATAGCCTAAAGTTTCAAATGAAAAAATATGCAAAGCATTCTTACAATGCACTGTCATTTTCAAGTTTATAAGCATTAACACTATCCCATATTATCACAAATTACAATAGAGAAAGCAGAGGTCAGCAGTTAATGTTCCTAAGTAAGAACAGTCCTTTTTATTCTGGGTGAGCATTTGCAAAAGAACAATAATCCATTTTCTTTGATTAAGGGATTTGTTAGTTGGGCAATGCTTAAATACTGTCCTTTTTGATGCAACAAAGTAATTGTTTTATATTCACAGAATCACAGAATAGTTGAGTTTGGAAGAGACCTCTGGATGTTTTCTAGTCCAACCTCCTTGCTCAAGCAGCATGAACAAAAGCAGCCTGTTCAGGACCAAGTCCAGTCAAATTTTTAAAACCTCCAGAGACGGACACTCCATACCCTCTCTGGGCAAGTTAAAAAAAAAAAAAAAAAAAAAAGCGTTTTTAAATGGACTTTCTTGTAATTACAATTTGCACACATAGCCTCTTGTACTTTCCCTGGGTATCACCGAGAACCTAGCTTTGCCTTCTTTACACTCTCCTATCAGATATTTATACATATTGGTAAGATGCACTCATCTGCCAATCTAGTTTGTTTAAATTTTCCCTAACCCAATCCTCCTCCATCAAGGGTAAGCCCTTCTTGCTACACACTTTACCATTGGCCTCAGGGGCCTGGGATTACTAAAAACCAGTCTTACCAACAAAGGCTAAGAAGAAGGAGAAGTTCCTCGGTCTTCTCTGTGCCCTATATCACAACATCCCCTGTCCCATTTGGCAGTGGGCCCGCATTTTCTCTTGTATACGTTTACTGCTGAAGTATTTATAGAAATGTTTCTTGTTGCCCTTCAAGTACCTGGACAGATTCAACTCCAGGTGGGCTTTGGCCTTCTTAACCCTATCCCTGCATGTTCAATGTCTCTATATTTCTCCCAGGTCACCTCCGTTCTTCCACTTCTTGTATATTTCCTTTTTATGTTTGAGCTTTTTCAGGTGCAACTTGTCCATCCATGCGGGACTCCTGATGCCTTTACCTGGTTTCCTTCTCATCAGGATTGATGATTCTCAAGTTTGGAGAATATGATCCTTGAAAATCAACCAGCTCTCCTGAATGCCTCTTCCCTCCAGGGCTGTAACCCACGGGATTCTTCCAGGCAGATCCCTAAACAGACAAGTCTGCTCTTCTGAAGTCTGAGTGAGGTCCTTATCACATTTCTGCTTCCTCTCAGGAGGTTGCATCGTGTTGTCCTCTCTTTTCTGGACTTCTCTTTGACAGTGGTGGCTGAAGATGTAAGTGTTAATTTGAAAATTTGACTCTAGCCTATTTCTAATAACTGATGTCTCACTTGGAACCTCTGTAAAGAGAATATAAGTCTTTTCCGTGTTACTACCTTAAATTCACTCCTCTACACCCTTTACAGCCTCTGGAAGGCACACAATACTACAATAATTAAATATTTTAACTACAGGTTATTATATCTAAACTTTAAAAATCTACTTATGACAGTGAATATTCTTTTACTGGGGTTCACTGAAACTTATTAGGGCAATAAACCCATTAATGAAACACTGTGGTTGAGAATTTTAATGCAGTGAAGTCAAGAAATGAGTGTTCAGTTACAGTTCTGTATATGGACCAGCACATATGAGTAACCTATCTGGTATGCATATTGACACAAGCATTCAGTCCACAAGACAAAATTCATCACACATGTACAGTAATCCCTAATAAATGTTGAAATACAGAAGTTCACTCTTTGATTTCAGAACTATGTCAAATGTCAGGGAAAAAAAAAAAAATTTTTTTTTTTTTTTTCTGGTTATAGCCCATGAACCAATGTACCTGGCATCAAATAATGTATTTTGCCAAAAATTAGAGTGAGAGAAATGAAACACAAGCTGACCCATGTCAAAATAGTACACTTCTGGCTACAGCTCATATTTAATACTAAGTACTTCTCTCACATTTTTCTTCCATCTCATTGACCTGGGCTACAACTTAATTGGTAAACATTTTTTTTCTGTACAAACACTAAATGAAAGTCTTGCTGTAACAACTGTTGTAGATATGATGGTCTAATGAAGGCTAAGTCTGTAGGCTGCTCCTCACATAAAAAATTGTCACCTCTTTTTACAGATTTTCCTATAGATGTGTACCAAATAATTGTCATTTAGATCATGATAAACATAGACATTTTTTTGCTTCTCTTCCCCTAGAAGCATTCATGGTAATAAATATTACCTAATGGGAAGATGAGATATTCAAGAACAAGAAATTGGACCATTTTCCTTAAGAATTATCTTTAATAAAACACATTCCTTTAAGAACAATAGATCTTTCTAAGAAAATATCAATCAACCAGAACAAAAATCAGAGGCAAGTACTCTAGAAAACTGTAGAGAGAGTGTTATCTAAATTAGTACACTTGTTTTTAAGAGGAACTTTAATCAGGCTTCATTTTACTCATATTTGTCAAATTTTGTATTTCAAAAAGCTGACCTACATGAACATATTTTCAGGCAATCACACCAGAAAGCTATTGATGATAGATTGGTCTAGAAAGTGACTCAGGAAGCCAAGGAAGAGCAGAACTCAAACAGGAAGTGTCAAAGCATAATGAAGCTGTTGTGGGCAGGAAAGAAATCCTACATGGCCTTTCATAATCATAATTTCTATTTTGTCTGTGTTCATCAAGCTCATTGAGATGTGCTGTGGAAGATGTGCTAAATAACCACCCTGACTGAATGGGTTAGGACACGGGAATGAGCAGTATGGAACTGATTTTCTGTTCAGGGAATGTCTATTTTTGGAACTAAATCTATGTAGAATTGCTGGAAAAGGGAATGATATATTGTACCTGTAATGCTGGAGAAGATACTTGAGAGAGGATTCATACATGCATATTCATGAATATTCATCCTGTGTGATGTAATGAGGGATCAGAGAACCAATAGTAAGCAACAAACTAATATGTTCTGAAGCAGCTTTTACCCATGTACAGACTACTTTATTTCTCAAAGTTACAATACAGACATGCACATCTTAATTCTTAATCACATTAAAATATAGCCAACACTTAAGACCGTCAGAAGCTGTACAGAAGTTAAACATAATTTGTATACTGGAACAGTTCCTCTTTGGACTGAAGAATAAATTGAAAGCGATTCAGGGCACTAACACAGAGCTGAAGTCCTCTCTCTGTGTCCTATCATGAGCATCATAGCTATGTGGTTCCTGTTCTCATTGATTTCTCAGTTTAAGCACTCTAAATTTCTATCAGTGCTTTTTAAAGGCTGTAAATCTGGAATGCACTCTCCTGAAGGCTTGCAAATCCTTACTCCAGATAGCTTCTAGACACAAAAGTGTCACTTTGGTTTTGTATTTCTGTGTTCAGCAGATTATTAACAATACATATCTCATATATGGCATTATTCAGCATTAAATCTTAAAACTGCTTTACAAAGAGAGTCAATAACATTTTTCCCATCATAAAGATGTGGAAAATGAGGCAAGCTGATAAGCAAATTTGCTCTAGCCAGTGAATATGATCTCCTAAGTCTCAGTTCAGTGCTCTGTCAAATAGAATCACTGCTTTTAGCAATTAATACAAAGTAGTTTATCATTTTCTTATTATGCAGGGTTCATTTAGCTACTCTCTGATAAATGTCTTTTATATATTTACAGTATTATTTACATAGGCCTCCTTTACACAAGGGTTGCCTGCTTCAATGATGAATCAACATATGGAGAACTTGCAAATGAATACCTAAATAAATACATTTCTGGAAAGGAGAGATATTTCTGTGTAAATCTTACACTGTCTTTACTATGTGATAAAGATAATAAAAACAAATAATATGTAGCCATAGTAGAGTAATACGTTTTATACAGACAACAGGAAAACCAAATTTATAATACTTTTATACCAAAAGCACAAGTGTTTCGATATAAGGGTAGAGTTAATATTGCCATTACCAGTGGAATACAGTTCTCTCTAACTTATCATTCAGCAGCATCAGTTGCTTTTAAAACCAGCCCCTTCTAATACACTTTGCATCCTTACACAGACAGAGCTTTTTCAGAGCACAGAGTAAGAACCGCAATTTAGAAAAACCTGCAGAAAGCTAACTCCTGAGCAGGGACAGATAATCAAGTATATCTGTATTTTCAGAAAGCCCAGATTAACAAGACAACTCGTGGTGAAGAGTGTGTGCAGATCTCAATCACAGCATGCCGCTGTTGCAGAAGAGCTCTGCTTCCAACAGCCAACTCTGGTATGTGGCAAATAATTTAGAGTGGGGTTAATTTTATTGTAGAGTTAACAACCAGAGTCAAATTGCTTCGGTATTACCCCCCTACCCACAGGCAGAAAAAGCAATTTTTGCCTGCAAATACTACCTGTCATTCAAGAGAAAGTTGTAAATATTAAAGCAGCACCCATTATTTTCCTTCCTGCAAATCTAGCAAAAACCAAGCTTCATGTGGTTTTCACTAGTGGTGTGTTTTTGGTTTTTTTTTCACGTGGTCAGATCCAGAACCTGCAGGGAAATTACGTTCTAGATACTTCAACTTCCCCCTGAATCTAATACAGTTACAGCATAGCCCATCCTAATATTTAAGAGTCAGTCAACCAGTTTCTTAGGACCAAAGCAGCCTTAAGTCAGGACCTGTTGGTATTGTTTATAAAGTAAGACACTACATTTCAACCCATTTTCAGATCATTTGTCAAGCAAAGAATGAACTGGTAACGCTTACCACATCCAGCGGCTGTTTAAAATGAAATTTGGTCCTCTTTTCACAAATTCAAAGGTGCCCTGATGCAGAAGGATCCAGGTTTGGAAGCCCTGTTGTGTTGACCTTAGGGCACTGTGCTTCACAGAGGCTTCCTTCTTACGCTCCTCTTTCTTGCCAGTGTCCGATAAGGAAGATAAACCAAGAGGAGCAACGCTGGGACTGAAACTGAGTGCTGCAGCAAGAGCTAGTCCTCTTACAAAAGTGTAACCTAACATATGCCTGGCTTGTAGGGAAATGAATATGCAGTGACAGTCACTAAGGAGCTCTGTGGTTTTCTCATGGTGCAGTGAAAGAAGATTTCAGCCTATCCCCCAAGAAATCTTCTGTGAACTGTGCCATCCATTAGGAAAAAAAAAAATGAAGATCATCCCATATCATTCAGAGGTTAACAGCTCTTTTAAAGATCCAAGTGTGGTGCACGCATAAGTAAACAACCTGATTCCAGATTCAACCACTTACTAAACTTAGTCTGAACAACATTCTTTCCCAGTCTGTATGCAGCCATTATTTAGATGATCAATACAAAATCAGGTGATAAAGGCAGTTTTAGCCTCTTTTAGCAAGCTAAGAAAATGTTTATATGTAAACCAGATGACTGAGTACTCAAGGGGAACCCTTCTGCCTCAACAGCACTCAGTGACACATCGCTCAGATGCACCAAATTTCATTTCTGCACCTGCAAAGAAAACAGCATCAGATCGTTATCTTCACTACACTAAAGGTGCAAACAAGGTACCTGCCACTGCCTTGTCAATGTTTTCTACGACAGACTAGTCTTCCAAGTCTGTGTGTGTCTATTGTGCATTAATAGAAGTGATCATTTACGCCATTCTACACTTCAATCCTGTGCTTAATAGATGCTGAGCACCCGCTTTCAGGTTCTGGCCTTTACCTTGGTTTTAATGCAGCCCAGCTGAGCATGAACTGAGCGTAAGCATTTACCTGAGGCCTTGACTAACCCGGCAAATAGTGCCTTTCGTTCCTTTAGAGCAACATCATTAGAATCTTTAAGTATCTCATTTTTTAATCTAAACAATATGTAATCTATTTTAGAACACTCCTTAGCTTGGCAAATAGAAACATGACAGGAAGGTGAATCCCATTTTATTTGGTTATTGCCATTTTTATCGTGTCATGACAAAATTTTAAAAATGATAGATTGATGATTTATATGTGTTTTGATAATAAATTAATAAGTATCATATACATTTTCCTTTACTATTTAGTTATATTACTTTCTTTATTAGTAGTAACAAATAAATTACTTCCACGGTTGTCAGATGGAGTTTTAATAGGGGAATAGATATTTTAATACTTTTCAACAATATGCATATCAATTATTATAATACTAGCAATTATTTTCTCTAATACTCTTGTATTTCAAGTCCTTCACTTTTTGTGAACCATTAAACTGTCAGGAAAAAAAAAAAAAAACTAACTGTATTTTTCTTTCAGCAGTATCATTTCAATTAGATTAATATTTCCCAAGTTTATAATTAATTTGACAGAAATGTCATTATAGTAAAAAGTCAATACTCCTTCTGTTCCTTGCTGGCAAACTTTCTCTACAATGTAGAAATTTATAACAGTGCCAGAAATCATCAATTTGCCTAAATATGGATATACACATGTCAAATATTTGTTTCTCTTTACAAATTTCTATAGCACCTATTACCATGGTATCTGCATGAATCTTCTATTATTTATGATTTGAAACACAAGATGAACAATTTAAATAGATATTTAATACGAATGTCCAGCATCTCTGCTAGTGTTGCCACAGTCCTTTGGGATCTAAATATTTCTCATGCAATTGCTCTATCTTAGAATAAAAGAAACATGATTTTATATTTTGAAATCTAGGAGTCCAGATTATCATAAGCATTTCAGTAAAAAAGTATACATACTGAAAACATGAGATATTTATCATATAAATTACTTATAAGTGTTGTGATGGTTAGTAGTGAATTTCACATAAAAAAACTCTGTATTATTTCTTGCAAATTTAAAGCCATCTTCGTCATCTAGTCTGTGCATAATGTGTAAGACAATTTTATAATTTTAATGCCTGAAATAATATACCTGTAAAAATGTCTTTAAATAAGGAGCTTGACACTGGGAAATTCTCAGCCATTTCAGATCTTTGCAAATAATGCTACAAACCTCAATTTCACAATGAAACAATATAATAACTGCTATACATTTTGTTGAATTATTCCTGTATGGGACTACTCTAAATTTCATTTCATACTAATAGTTACCATTATTTGCTCTTTAGTAGTATATCTAAACTTAATTTCTACTTGGCAAATACTTTTTCTTGTTGTTTCCAGAGAAGTGGAAGTCAAGGTGATGTCGTCACAGCACCTGTATTTAACAGCAGATCTACAAACAAAAGCAAAAATATGCATAGATACTGGAATACCGAGAAATATTCTCTATTGTGGTGTTCTCTACCAGAACGAAGCATCACCCAATACCAGCATGATGACTCCCCAAAACAGAATTCTTACAGCATACTAGAATACATTGTTCACTCAATTAAGTTTAAGATGAAATCGCATTTCCTAAAACTGAGGTTTTTAAATTGGAGAATGATAAAAACAGCTGGGCATATACCCCATTCCAACAATCAGTGATGCATCATTTTTACAGTAATTTTTCTACTAATGTTTGTTTCTGATTTTTAAATGTTAAGTATTTTAGCTTCTATTTATTCCCATCCTGGTTTTATTTTCTAACATAAAGATCTGCTGATGGCCACAAGAGATTGTTATAGATGGACATTTTTTCTGACCTCGTATATGACCTTTATGGCTTTATGCACCACTACTCTTGGAAAACTATTCTAAAGTCTATTGATCTCATGATCAAATCTTCATTCTCAAGTGTAATTGGATATTTTAAACTTCCTGATATTGCACTAAGATAGTATTTTTTTCACTCCATTATTTTTTAATAGTTTCCTATATTGTCTCAAAATTCTCTCCTTTAGGTTTTTTTACCTTTTAAATATTTACCGGGCATCATCATGTACCTTTCCCAATCTTAGATATTATTTAATCAATTCTTACCCAGGGGACCATTTAACCAAACGATGCACTAACCCTGATGTCAGCATAACTATTTATACCTTTCAGCATATGTTTTCTTTTGCTGCACCATGGCCTTAGATCTTTCACTCTATTATAGTAAATAATAATTACCACCTCCTTACCACTTTTGTAGTTTTTCTCTTGAATTCTTGAATACATACGTGTTTTTCTGAATTGAATGTGAAGTATAAAAAATTTGCATGCACATTTTAAGCTGCTCCAACACGAAACTCACATTTTATACCACTTTCACAAACTCCCAATGGAAACATAATTTTCAGTACTTGAAAACTTCATATCTTATATGAAGTATGGTTTTGCATGGTTTTGCTGTTGTTGTTTTACATTTTTACAGAAATTTAAAAATATAGTAATTAGAGAAAGAGCACAAGACCAAATAAGCAAGAACCATAAGGAACGAAGAGCTGTAAAGGACGACAAGAGGTAATTGTGCGACCATAAGAGATAATAACAAACACTGACTAAGTATACACTGATGTAGACCAAAACCACTCTTCATGGATATTTACCCCATACATCTTGACCACACATCCCTTGCCAGATTATGACAGTGTCTTTAAAGTCTCTAATGAAAGAGGCTTCGCGACCTAGATAGTCTGTTCCATTCACTAATTATCCCGGTAGTTAGAAAAACCCTTTACAATCTGATTTAAATCTTTTGCTGTGCGTAAAATCCTATGACATGAAGAACCATTGATTACTTTATCTTTAGACTGCTCTCCTCCAAAACCTCATCAAGTTACCTGTATCTTTCTTGAAGTAAACCCTAAAGTGACAGATGTTATCCATTTTAACATCACCAACTTGAGGTAAATTGTAATAATTCTCTCATGTCTTAAACACAATACTCCTAGTTACACATTTCAGAAAAATATCTCCCCTTTTTTCCATTCAATTGCAATAATTCAAATTCAGCATTTATTTCTCTTGGGCCCACCTCCTTTCAGATGGTGCAACTCCCTAACCAGTGACTATATTTTGTACTCAAGACTTAGTTCTCCTTACTAAAAGTAACACTTTTTTGTTGTTACTGTTGTTACTTTTTGTTGTTGTCTTGTTGTTACTGAATAATTCCAGCAGTTCTGTCAAGATCAATCAGAATTCTGAGACCTTCTTCCAATGGGCTTGCACGTCCTTCCGTTTTAACTGATTACAAAAAAGTAACTGATTACAGTTTCATGAAGACCAAAGTGAGGAAAGAACTAAATATTTTACTTTGTCGTTCACTTGATTTTCTTTAATTCATTTTCTGAACATTTAATGCAATACTCAAAGCAACCTTTTGGACTGTAGTAGTAAAAAATTGGACAGAAATTTGTTATGGAAGAAGATGAGTGTATTAATGGCCTGCAAAAAAATTTTATCAAGAATAATTCGACTGGAGGTGAACCACTATTACCAGTATTTAAGTTGCACAAAGCCAGAGAATGGACAACATGAACCCTTTGTCTGGACCCTTCCAGTGTCTCCCCAGTTCCCTCCATTTTCACATTCTCCAAGCACGCACCTTGGGCAGCCTGCTCAGTGTCTGTTCCTAACATACATCCTTGACAATGTGGGGATGACTCCAGTGCGTTAATTGGAAACTGCTCGGGAGGCAGCTGAGTTGCTGGCAGCATAGCACTAAAAGTCGTATCTTTCTGAGCTACAATGTGCTAATTTTGATTAATTATTACAAGTATTATATAATATTACTATTGTAGCCTGGTACCCACTGCCTTTCATACATACAAATTACAGAGAGTGACCCTTGGCATGAAGAAGCAGCTTAATAAATCAGTTATACATTAACTATGAAGCAAATGTATTTATTACTACCTGCACTTTCTTAAGTCTCAAAGCACGGATAAAAGATTCTCATATATATCTTTACAATAAAAAATAACAGAGGCTATAACCTCAAAGATGCAATGACGGTGGAAGGGCATCTTGCTGAAGAAAACGAAGATACAAAGCAGTTAAACTATGACAAAAAGGTGAAATGTTATTAAACATAATTCATTTATTCACTTATGAATACTGTATGTGCATCTACAAAGGTGTGCTTCTTAATGCAGTTTAATGGCTTTGAATGTAATTTCCACACTATTTACAGATCTGACCCTTCTCTGCAACATCAGTTTCTCAATAATCAGCACTTTTATGTTTGCTAACTCCCAATAATATTTGTAAAATAAAGGACATCATAGAGTAAACTTTGCATCTGTTAACTTCAACCTAACCCACACCTTGTTCTGTATAGTGCCATCCTGAGAACCATCTCTGCTAAGCATTCTAAACAAAGGAAGTCTCAGTTATCTATCTTTCCTTCTATAAATACTCTCAACCTAGCAACAATGTGATTAACTGTGATTGTTACTAATAAAAGTAGCAGGTAGTTCCCTGCATATTTTCGTTTTAGTTTCTAGACATAAGAAGTCTTTTTAATATTGGCAGAGAATGGATTTTTCTTCATACTAGAAAGTATTATAGCACCGAATAAAGTCTTTCTGATCAAACCATACCATAATAGCTTTTGTCTTGTGTCACTTTATGTTAGCCAGCATCAGAAGAGAAAATA